GTGAATTGGGTTTAGTCTAGGTTTAGTGTAAAATAGGTTTTATATCATAGCTTTTGGGTAAATTAATATTTAGCCATCGAATTTTTATGATAATTTTCTCTTGTGCCCTTGTACTGTAGCTGTATATCTACACTTTAGTCACCTTTGGACTATTTTAGAATTTTTATCTTTTTGTTGTTTGTCCTGATTTTGACGTTTTCTTAAATTTAGATTGTAGTTATAATTTTCGGGTTATTTAGGTTTAGCTCCTTCATAGTTATTTTTTAATCCTTGTTATAATTCGATTTATATGTCTAATTTTCATTTTATTTAATTTAGTCCTTAGTTAAATTTGTGAATAATTTGAATCTAACCCCTGATTATTTTGTTATTCTGATTTAGTTTCCTTTTTAGATCTATTTAGCCAAACTTTAAAAATCATTTTATTATATTGTACATACAGCAACAGAGCATTATTTACATGTCACAATGCATGTGTTTATTGCACGTGTCACTTTATATTATATATTATGTATACATTTTTGATAACTTATGCATATTATTTAGTATAGAAAACTATCTTGTTATAAAAATCGTGAACGCATGTGCTTTGAATGTAGTCATTTAATGCTATAATACACATATGCACGTGCTTCAATGATGATTTAAACTGTTGTTCTTCAATTATTTTAGAATTTAGTATTGATGATGGTTAATTCTTATTGTTTTTAAAATTATTAGTGTGTTCATCTTTCTAGATTACATTCTAATGTTGTCAGTATGCCATGGACTTGCTTGTATATAGCCATTTGTAATTATCTGTAAATACATCATTTCACACGATTTGCATGATAGCCTCATGGGCATAACTCGACCATACGACATAATTGGCTTAAGGGTAATACACTTTTAATTTAAATCGTTTTTAGCGGGCTGTCTTAACTGATTAGAGGTCCGTTTCTAACAATTTTAAATTAAAAGTGTATCACATCAGTGACACCAAAGAAATTTATTTATCACTTTAAAATTTAGGAACGAAAGAAAAGAAAATGTTCGGTTATTTAAATTTATCGAGAAAAGGTTGTTATAGCTTTTAAGATCTGGTCTCGATATTTGTAAATAATCGAACATTCTTTATCTTTCTAAAACGACTTGGTAATTTTAATTTAATTCATTTGAGTGCTTTTGAATGTTTCAAATTTACAATTTTATTTTATAGGATCAAAAATCAAAATAAATTTGAATTTGTAAAATTCATTGCAAAGACGTTAATTAATCGACTAGGTACCGATTTAGGGCGTTGTGGGGGTGCTAATCCTTCCCCACACGTAACTGATTCCCGAACTCATTTTTGGTAACGCAGACCTCAATTTGTTGTTTTAATTAAAATTAATTTTTATTTAAAATGACAAAGCATTTTTGGGTGCCCAATCACACCCTAATCAAAGATTGGTGGCGACTCTTTGAATCGTATTTTTCGATCGTAAAAGAAATTCAAAATTTTTCGAAACGAGAGGTTTTTTAAATCGCATTTGTTTTTAAATTAAAATTCAATTGAAATATATAAGTTAAAAATTGATGTAGTTTTATAAATCTCACCTTTTCACCTTTCAAGAAAAATCGTTTCGACAGATATCTCTTTGAATTTAATAAATAAAATCGTACAAATATGAAAAAAAAGAGTGACTAAACCAATAAATTACCCTTAATACTATAAGGAAATGATATCAACTACAACATTTATTAAACAAAAAAGAAAATATAAATATTTGGATTTGGATTTGGCATCCAACTTATTTAAAAGAAAAAAAGGGTAAATTACAAATTTACTAATTAAACTTTATTCTCCCTCCTATTTCATTCATTATACTTTTAATTTTTTTAATTTCATCTCCGAACTTTATACATTGAATATTTTTTGTCACTATACCATTAAATAATTAACGGCGTTATGATATGACAACTTACACCAAAAGAGTGTCATTTTGGATTCCCACGTAAAGCTAAATTTAATTTATAATGTCGTCATTTTGATTCTCTATAATTTTTTTTATTTCTGCTCATTTCTTCTTTATTCTTCTTCTTCCTCGTCTTCCTTTCTCTTTCCTGACTTTAACCAACCAAAAATCAACCACCACATTAGTCTTCATTTTGGCCACCATCAAAAGAGACCAATCTGTTATTTGTTTAATCAGAAAATAATCCAAACTCCACAAATCTAGTGGAGATGTTGAGGTTCGATGGAAAACTAGTGTTGAGAATCAAAGGAACATATTGATGGCCCTGTCGTGGACAGTATCAACAATTCTCTAATTGAACCAGAGATTAAAAGTGTTGATTGTTCGTCCGACATCGTCTTGGCCTTCGATTTCACTTCTTTTGCTTTTTAAGTAGTTCATCGTTGCTTCCATCCATTACCTCTTTCCAACTTGCTCTAAAATCAGGTTGAGAAGGGCTTCCATGGCTGCTACTTTCATTAGCATTGCCTTTATTGTTAAAAGACCCAACTTTTTCATTGATAATTGTTAGACAAAATACTAATCGAAAATAATAATAATAATAATAATAATAATAAATATTATATAATCAAATAAAGTAAAATAATTATAAAGAATTAATAATAATTGATATCATTCATCAAATGATATGACTTATTATTAATTTATCATTCATTCCATTATTTTTCACACAAAGTCATTTTTCCTTCTAAACTTTTCAGTGCCTTATAAATCTAAAAAGGGTTTTCTTAGAACTGAGAAACAGATAGTGGGTAGTGATTGGATTGAAAAGAGTTAGAGAGAAAGTGAGAAACATAAAGATGATCTACACCTGGCGGTGGTATTTTGACCGGTCAGTGGGTTTGAGATTTGGGTTTAGTAAGTTTAATTTAATTTTTTATTTTAAATCCTATTTGATTTAAAATATTAATAAAAATATCATACGACCTTTTGAATATTAAATTAATCCATGTCATCAAAATGTGAGTGAACAAACGATCGAGTGATTAAAATTTCAATCTCTAAAATTAAGTGACGCAATTGAAAAAAAATTAAAAGTATAATAAATAGAATAGGAGAAAGAATAAAGTTTAATGAGTAAATTTATAATTTACTCAAGAAAAACAAAACAAAATAGCAATCAAACTAGGCAAGAAGCTGCGGCGCAGAGTGGACGAGACGACAAATAAGAATCAAATTAGGCACCGTTAAAATCATGCCACGTGTATAATTTGGATTTTAGTTTGTTGGTTACTAAGACCCTTTTAGAAATTGATGGTACAGATCAATTTCACCACAACTAATTCATGACATCATTCAAACAGCCCACCACAAAGTCATTCATTTCAATCAAATTTCAATCTTGGCGTCTATCATTCTTATTCACATGATTTTATTTAAATATTATTAAAAAATATAAAATAAAATTTATCACATTTCAGTTTATTTTCTACGGTTAATAATACAAATGATCCATCGACAGTAGAACATTGTTTTGTTAAGTTATCTGGCTGTTATAAGTTATAAAATTATCCATCGAGTATAACGAATTATTTTGTTGAGTCATCCAATTATTAAAAATTATAAAACGATCATTTGATTATTCAAATGTTCTAAACTCGTCATTTTCTGTTAAAAATTAACGGTCGTCTGAGCCCGATGTTAACATGTTGATTCACATATGATAAAATCATATTTTATGATGTCTAATAACATCGACATTACTTTCAAGCACTGAATCGATGACATAATATTTCAAGCATTAGCTCGAGAATATAATGTATATAGAGACTCGATCCACAAAGTACAACTCAAACAGTTATGAAATCATTTTTTTATCCTATCCAAATGAGTAGGTTAACATCCAATAACGACCGCCATTTTTTTAAACGGAGAAGGAATATATTGAAATATATGAATAATCTGATGACTATTTTATAACTTTTAATTGTTAGAGACTCAATAAAATGGTGTCTTATAATCATGAGGTCATTTTATAACGTTCAATAGTCATGTAATTTAACAAAGCAACGTCTTATAGTCGGGAGAATATTTGTATACTTTACCCTATTTTTTTAATGATGTGTGATCAAAACGAAACAAAAACGTAACATTATATATAATTTTTTTTAAAAATAATTAGATGATAAAATAAAACCAAAGTGATAGTTAGAATAATTAAATAAATAGATTATTTATAAAAATTAGAGGCAGAGTTAAATCAAGCAACGTGTTTGATTTGGATTTTAGGTTGTGAGTCTCATAAGTTTAGATACAACTCGAAGCAAGACTCAGGAATGTTGGTGCTAAACCCCTTTTGGAAAATGATAGGCATTAGGCACACATCAAATCATTTCACCAAAACTTAATGCTTCATCGCATCATTGAAACAGCCTACCTAACAGTCATGTATTCAAATTAAATTCGAATTGTGACACTTATTATTATCGATAACATTTTATTTAAATACAATTTAATACAAATAAAATTAATTTTAGATCACAAATAAGACTATTTATCGAGTAAGTCGGTCACAAGCTCCTCGCGAACTTATCAAGTCAAATTAAGCCTTGTTTGATTGGTCTCTTAAAGTTTCAAGCTAAGTTCAAGTCAAATCAAGTCAATTTAAGTCAAATATTGATCAAATTTTAACCGAGTCAAGTTCAAACTGTTCACAAACTACTCAACTTAGTTATCATCCCTAATCACAAAACAATCGAAAATACTCATAATTATATAAAAAAAATGAAACTACTCTTTTATTTTTTTTAAGTTCAACTATTTAACTGTTTGTATTCCATAATCTTGTTAAATTTCTAGTGATGGGTGACCAAAATAAGACCAAAACATAACGTTAGATATGATTTTGAAAAGAAATAGCTGAGTGACCGAAACAGAACAAAATTAATAGTTGAGATACTAAACATGATTTTGAAAGAGAACGGAATGATCAGCCCTGGCCCATGGTCCATGGACACGTCCAGACACATGATTCAGTTTCTAGCTCATCAGGGGTGGCCTAAGTATGCATTTCGTGGCGAGGACAACAAGTAGAAACTGCCAGAGGGCACAAATCCACGTTTTTACAATTTCTCCAGTGCAGGGTTAGAAAAATGGTGAAGCAAGAAGAAGAAGAAGATGATATAGTTTGCTTGGACGAATCCTTCTTCATCAATGACAAGTATTTTCACACCATTTATCTTCATTCTCTGTAAGATCTTTTTCTATTAGTTGAATCATACATGTTAATATCCGCAGTTACCAGCTAACCACTTTCACAGTTGGGTCACATGTTCTCCTGCTATATTGTCTTCAATCAGCTTCTAGTAAGTCCTTTTTATTTAATCACAACCCATTTCTCTGTTTCTCAATTTACTGTGTTGGGTCATCAAGATTTCTTTATTTATTTATTTTGTTATTGTTGTGTGTATGTGAGGTGGGGGGTCTGTACTTAATTGCTTTAGGTTGTCTTTAACTATTCAAGTGAGATTTTTATTAGATTTTATTTGTGTAACAGCTGATTTTGATTTGACGGGACAATTGGTATGGCCTGGTGCAATGCTTTTGAATGACTTTCTCTCTAAAAATGATGAGTTGCTTCAAGGATGTTCCATGATTGAATTAGGCTCTGGTGTAGGTGAGTCATATTTTCTGTTTCCATTTTATTTTGCAAGTTACTAATGCATAAATTTCAAGGTCTCACATTTGACAGTTAGATAATAACCTGAATCTGAATCCATGCTTATATCTGCTTATCCCTTTGAATTACTCCCTGTGTTTTTGGCGTTTTAGAATTGGGCAGTCTTTATATTGCATCTGAGGAGATTGTAGGAGATTGAGGAGCATTTATGTAATTATGTTCATGTGCATGGTGTAGTTTGTATGTATGTCTTATGTCATGTGGATATTTTGGTTGAAAAGAAAAGGGATTAAGGAGTTTTGTTTCATTGAGCTGCCTTTTCCCCTACCAATACTTTTGTTATAAAATCATCTAAAACAGCTTGATAGACGATTACCGAATGTGCCTGCATAGTTTAGCTTCTTTTGTGATTTTTTATTAATTAGTGAGATCTTCCTATGTTTCATGTGCTCACTTTTTGAAATAATAGGTTGAATGCGTTCTGAAGTCCTATGTGCGCACAAATAGTCAACTTAACGGAAACTTAAAATTCAATTTTTTGAGTCATTCCTTTATGAGCAAAATAGTTTTGCAACTTTGAGTTTTATAGCAGAAGAATTGAATTTTTCCACTCTAGTTTGTTTTTTGTTATGTTCTATAGGATTCCATAGCGTTCATCAGTGTTACCTTGATTACATAATATGATTACTGTCATCTGCTATATAGGTATTACCGGCATGCTTTGCAGCAGATTTTGTCGACAAATTCTTTTGACTGATCATAATGACGAAGTGCTGAAGGCAAGATAGTAATGTTAAGTTATATATTTGGTAGCTCTTATAGCTAATTTTTCTCGTTGTCTTATCATATACAGATCCTTAGGAGAAACATACAGCTGAATGCATCTGCTGAAAATCCTGGTTTTTGTGCTGGTGAGAGAAATAAGATTGATTGAGAATACTCATTGTGGGTTAGTTAATGTCCTCTTTTCACATCTTTCATGCAGCTCTAGAAGCTGAGAAGCTAGAGTGGGGAAACTCGGATCAAATTACCAGGATTTTACACAGATATCCTGGAGGTTTTGATTTGATTCTTGGCGCAGATATCTATATCCTGATTACGTTTATTTATTTCTTTTCTCGAGCAATTTATAAAATAAAACGCCGAAGATTGAGCTTCTGAATGATGAAATTTTGATTATCATAATTACCTGAGAATTGAACACGAATTTAACATTATCATTCCGTTCAACATGTTTCTTGCTATAACTTAGATTTACAGTCAGTTTTCATTATATATTGTTTATTTTAGCAGATGTGTGTTCTGTTTTGTAGCATAAAAGTGGAATCGAATTTAGATGCTGTTTGGTTATGTGCCGACTTTGTTGGACCATTATCTATAATTACACGAAGAACTGCCATCGTACCTGATAGTTGTAAAAAAGCCTCATTTCCTTTCTTTCATAATTCAATCGTTCTTTTCTAATAGCTGCTCTTGACAACTGGAGCTGTAAAAACTTGTCCTTGACAATATCCAAGCTTCCAGCAGTCAAGTGTTCCTTTGCTTTTTGATACTGTAGAACAGCTCCTGAAGAACAGGGGACGTGGACATTGCAAATTCATACTAGCATATGTATCCCGTGCCAAAATGTAAGTCTTATAGCTTTTCCTCTCTCATGTGATTACTAATTCATATCAATAATAAATCTGTCATCTTCCCAATGAAAGAATAACATAAAAATGCTTTGAGCTTCTATCTTCCGCTACATTTTGTGCAGATAACCCTTTAAGCATTGCCATATATTGGTTCTTGTTTTGTTATTTAGAGCTGAACAAGATTCTTAATAAACATAAACTTATTGACGCCATCAAACATAATTCTTTGTTGCTCCACTTGCCGGCATCCTACGAAAGCACATAAGTCCTTCCGAAAAATGTGTCTGCAACACAAAGTCCACTAGAGTTTATACTATATGTACACACATACTTTGAGTTCAAACCTTTTCTTGGATATAATTTCCTTTTTAATACTTCAATATTGGTGCAAGCATGTTTCATTTTTTTACAATCGCTAATGTCACACAGTTGCAGACTGAGCTCTTCATTCATGTCCAACACAATTTTTTTTAAAGCACAATCATGCTGGAATTAAATGCAGGATGGATTTGATGGTTATTGCGGAAGCTACTCGACATGGTATGCTGATAAATGAAGTAGCCGGGACACGGTCTGTGGTTGGAAACCTCGAAGGAGTCATCTTCGAAATCACACTCTGTTAGAGGTGATGAATATATTTTTGGATTGTGGAAACTACTGCACATTAAGGTGGAAGAACGGAATTAGATCTGATGTGGAAAATGCTTTAAACTACCTTCTTGTTTGCGACGTTTTGGCAACGAATGACTCATATTCAACAAGAAACGATTTTAGAAGGCAAGTTTAATGCTTCCAAAATCTATTGTTACTTATGATAATTCCCTACTTTCTAAATTTTGTTTGCACTTGGTAACACCCTGGGCTGGGAATAGTTGCACCGCATCGATGGATTTAATTGTATGTTTATGGAAGTTAATCAAAAAGCCCCATTAGTCTATTTTGGAGCACTTTCTGGTTATAATTGAGTTGTTCAGTTATGTTCTATGAAATTTACAGTATGAAATAAGTGTGTTTCTATGCCTGCTACTGCTAGTGTCTTGAGGAGTTGAATAGCATTGTAGTTGTTTCCGTGATAAAGCAAATCTTGTGAGCAACTGATCATGCAGTTTTAGACTTGAGGGAGTTATAGCATCAAAGCCAACATCCACCTGCAGAAATTGCTTTCACATGTATCATAATTTACTAGGATGGAAGCTGGGAACTGTGTTGAGAAATTATGCTAGCAGTGTTACAGCTAAATTGTCGTGGTGGAAATATGCTTTGCATTTAATTTTTCTTTTTGTTGATAAAATGTGTGCATTATATCCAAAGAGGAAGTTGTTAAATCTTAAAGAGAACTTAACCAAAACAAGATACTCATTCCCTAATATCACAAGCAATGCACAGTTGGGGATTCAAGCTATCTTTAGATTTGCTATAAATTTTAGTCTGTACAACTTCCCTAGTAGAGCATAAAATTTCCCCCATATCGATCACATATTCATAAAGTTTCTTCTATTATGTTCTTCACAAATGAAATGTGAAATAGATGAATGCATTCCAAGCGATTTTAAAAATAATGATAGGAATGGACTTACCCTTTGCATGAGCGCATGCCCAGGTCACCTCACGATCTCAGTCCAGCACTGGTTGATTGATTCTGTAGGTGGCTAGAATGACTTTCCAACCGCAACCAATTAGGAGTATCCAAAGAAAAGTTGAGAACGAGATTCATTTGCATTCCCACTCAGTACACACCCGCTAGCCACACATTCCCATGCACAAAAGTCGGTCACTAGTTGTTAGTCTATCCAAGATTGCCATCCACGCGATTACAGCGTGCCTGGGAACGTGCAACGAAAATCACACCAGCCTATGCCACACACGTTGCCCTCTTTATTCTGATTTCATCCCAAATCTCCCGGTCCGAAGAACCCCCGGGTTCCTTGCCACAGCAAAGACGGGAGCTGCCTCCTCCCTAAATGAAAAGATATTTTTCAAGCTCCAACTCACCAGCCCTCTCGGCTCAAAGCTCCACACGTCCGTGCCCCTAACAACGTAAAATTTGACCCATGCAATCCACAAGGAGCCCTTAGCAGCTAGCAACTTCCTCAACAGCGCTGAAAGAAGTATGCCTTGAAAATGTTGCTTCATATTCACAGCTTACATTAGAGCTTTCTGACTGTAAAGTTGAAGGGGCAGTCTATAGTTTTCTATTTTTGTACCATGAACTTAACAAATCAGACTTAACAGATATTTAACAGTTCAAATTGCATCAATGCAAAGATAAACTTTGTTATGAGAAGTGGGTCACCTTTATAAACTGCAAACTTCTTGGAACCAATTTTCCACAAGCAATGGATCTACCTTCATTTTCATGCCCTTTCCATATGCAACAATGAGAAAGCACCCAAATCAACAAATGTCAATGAGAAGACCCATAAATAAAATTAGCTATCCGAAGATGAACTTATCTTCTGATCTTAGGCTGGAACTCGAAATCTACAGTTGAAATATCCATTTGCCAAGGTTAGTAAATGATGAGAAGTGTGAGATCTATGATGCATACTGCCTGAATCACTGAAGATACATGTGGTATTAAATTGTGACCCAAAAGTTCAATAGGCAGAGCAACCGGAGGACTGGAGGAGTCATGTTTCAAGATGGACAAGGCACCATAGAGGTCAGGGTCAATTGTACCAATTAGGGCTGAGCAAGGAAACGAAAACCGATTCGAACCACATTATACGGTTCAGTTCAGTTTGAGTTTTTCATTTTACGATTCGTTTTCGGTTCGGTTTAGACATTTAATTTTACAATTCAATTATGTTTCGGGTTTTTCATATGAAACCCATATATTTCAAATCAAATCGGATTTAAAAAATAATAATCCAAATAAATTCATTCTGAATTTGTTATAAAACAAACAAAGTCCTAAAATTAATAATATTATATTCTATAAATTTAAACTTGTGTGTATTCACTAGATTATAATAAATATGTTTATATGTGTTGATTATTGACTAGTTAAAATTCTAAATATGATATATGTTTTTTTTAATAATCAATGTGATACTCGAAATTTGGTCGAAACTCTCTGACCTGATTTAGAGGACATTACACTATGCTTGATGAGTTTCCAATGAGATTATCACACATGAGAGAGGTGGACGATGCATCAAACTTCATGGACAAAGAATGGTTGATGCGACATAGAATAAATGTTTTAAGATATTAAATTAAAGTTATCAGCGATTCTGAGAGTTCATCTAATATTTAATATACTGGTATCTAAGTCTTTATTCGAGGATCGAGAGGATATGAATCAAGACAGACCATACTTAACAGAAAAGGGACCCCTACTATCGATATGTACATCAATGTAAAAAAATGAAGTTGCATGGCAGCAGATGCTAAGGTAGTAAGGTGAACAGTTCAATGGAGGGGGCAAACAAACACAACGACAAATTAGGATCAAGCTAAGACACCGATGATGTTTCAAGATCACTTGGTCCAAATTCGTTCAATAGACATAACAAAAGCATCACTCGATTTAATAGGTAGAATGTCACAGATTGAGAGTTAGAGTCCGGTAATGTATTGAATTTGACTCAATCCTTGAAGAATATTATAGAAGAATCACTAACTTGGACTTTGACGAAAAAAATAATATCAAAAAATATTTAATAAGTGTGAACATTCTTGTGAACATAATTAGAGAAAAAATATTTGTATTTTATATAAAACACCATGGGCATCGGTGAATGTATGCTTTACCTAAGACAGACATGTGTTGTTAATATATGTGTGCCAACCTTAAAAATATTTTTGAATCTGCAACTGATCAGCAGTGCATTCGTGGTTATTTTTATCAAAAGTTGTTTTCTTTCTCTCTTTTCTTCTTTTCTCTAACTGGCTTTTTGTTATCTTTTTCAGCTTCATTTAACTCCTATAGTAGCCATGGAGAGAGCAGAGAAATAATGGTACAGCATTGATTCTAAAAGGAGATGTTCAGAAGCTCTTGGAGAAGCTTCAACAGATAATAGCTGGAGGGGTGTGTGTGTTTAAAACTTTAATTCGATGAATATTTTGTGTTTAGAGAATGGTATTCTTAAAAGATCACATTTTGGGGATTGGTTGATTCCTACCTCAAGAAGGGGCAATGATTTTATTAGGGTAACTTAGAATGTAAGAAGTTAAAATCTTAACAAGTGATTTTCTTTATATAAATTCGGAATATAGATTATCTTATCCTTACATAAAATAATTGTATTGGAACCGATCTTGTATTTAGTCATCTGTTCAGTTTTTGTTAATCTTTAATTCAACTTTATTGCATTTGCATTTGTTTTATAGCATCTTTTAGAAAGAGTAAATGCTTAAGGCAACAACAAAATAGAGCATAGATTAAAACCACTTTTGATGTTGCTTGTGTGATATTTAACTGTCTCAAGTAACTTAGTTTTTTTTGTTTGGTGAAGGGGGGGATTTAGCTGATCTTGCTGTTGATTACTCCATATGTCCCTCCAAGGAGAAGGGGGGAATGCTTGGATGGGTAAGAAAGGGACAAATGGTATGTTGATTCCACTTTTATCCTTTGAAGAGTTAAATATATATTAAGAATATTCCATGTTGTTTCAACTCCTTGTTTTTCTTAAAGTATCCACATCCAACTTGTATCCCATAAGCATGGATATGGAGTTATGAACCTCCAAATATGTGGAAAATATTAGAGAAGTTAAAAGCTAAAAAAATGTTGTACCTAGTGCACAATGCTCCCAATATAAGCAAGGTCTTGATGCACATGGCCTTACTCCCTGTTTTCAACAGATGGATGTTTCGAGGGTTCGAATCTGTGCAAGAGACAATCTTAGCTAGCTGGAATTATATTTTTGGTAGCAACTTTCAAACTTGTATTCATTGTTTAGATTTTTTAATCATATGAATTATGAAATAGTGCTTGAATTTGAAGATTTTACCAAACTTTTATGCCCATGTCTTTCATGATGGTCTTATAAAGTTTTACACCTTATCTCCCATTTATGATTCTTCTTGGTATTTTTCAATTGCTTGCAGTTGCCATAAGCTTCCAATTTCCTTTAGATCTTGAAATCTTGTTCATGTGAGGGCATAGTTAACAGTCCATATGCTAGATATCATGCATTTTTTATCAGAGTTTTCTTATGCATGTAAAAAAATAACCTACAAATTAAGAATTCTAACGTAGAATATATCTTGATTACTTTTTAGATTTCACCCTCATGATACTTTGCTTGTTCTCTATGCATTTTATCCCATGTTATTTATATGACAAGAAGAGAAGGGTTGAAAATTTAATTGAAAACATGTTTGATGGACTTCTTTTTGTCATGGTAAAATATTTTAGGTGCCAGAATTTGAGGAGGCTGCTTTTAGTGCACCTTTAAACAAAGTTGTGAAATGCAAAACTAATTTTGGATGGCACTTGTTACAAGTTCTATCTGAGAGGTATTGCTTGTAACACTTAATTGAAATCTGTGCTTGATGAAGCTAAGCAGATTCTAACTCTCCTTTAGCTTGCTTCAGGGAAGAGTCATTGCTTAAAGATATTCTACCAGAGGAGCTTCATGGAAAATTGCAGGACCCTAGTTTCATCGAAGAGGCTCAGTTGATACATGTCCGGGAGCCCGAAGAAGTGTATGCTTGCATAACTCGAAGAACAATTTTTTTACGTGGATTTTCCGAATTTAGATTTTTAAATGATGAATGAGATGCACAGCAAAGTTACTAGGCCAACTTTTTCCTCTAGCTATAGAAGTTATAGCAATTACAGCATGCTTAGAAAACAAAAACAAAAAACTACTCTAAATTCTTAGTGTAGGTAATATGATAAAAGAGAATTTCAACTCTTAATTGATTAAGCATCACTATGAAGCTTTTAAGCTTTAGGTCATGAAACAAGCTATTGCTTGAGAAGTTTTAAAATATAGTATTCGACTGGAATTATTTTTGAAGTCTCTTTAATGATGATGATTATATTATAGCATTTCATAAACCATAACTGTTATTGAGGTTAGCTACCCGAAGTTCAACTTTAGTAGCATTACAAAATCAAGCAATACAATGTTTTACCTAGTTCAATTAGCGAATTATATCACCAAGAGGCACTATATAGTTGGAAAATTTCATACTAAGGCGTTACACTTTGTTTTGGCCTTTGAAGAGGATGATGTCATGTCTCAATCTTTTTCACATGGCAGGTCTCAAGCATCTTTGCCAGGATTCCAGTTCTTCTTCTACGCCAGTTAGGAAGTTGGGGACCTGAAATAACTAGCAAATTTGATCCAATGAAAGATACATATGTCTTGGTGAGTATTTTCTCGTTGATCCCAAGATTTTTAACCATTCCCCCCCTGCATTTAGCTGACCAATGTTCCATTTTAATCGGTGTTAAAATGTATGATGCAGTGTCACCATGGAAGGCATCGTTGCAGGTTGTCAAATGGTTACAGACTCAGGTTAATTTTATTACTTGTTTTTCTTCACACTTCATTCCATGTGCTTATCGGAGTTCAGATTTTCACTTTCAGGGGTTTCATAATGAATCATAGCTTCTCATTCCTCCAACCTTCATGTATATATAAACCAATGTTCTGCCAGCTCTGCTCTTATGCTGTGCTGTGCTGTGCTGTAATATATGATATATCATTCAATGCCTTACATTGTCCTTTGCATCAGACACAGCTTAGGTTTGCAGTGTAAGTGTAGCATTGATTTTTTTATCTGTTTTCCTTGACCACAGACTCATATTTCATTTAATTTTCTGTCATTGCCATTGTTTCTGATATGTTGTTGGAGCACGAACCAAGCGACCTCAGTGGTTAAAGAGATGATTGTTATCCCTAGAGCTCTCGGGTTAGAGAACGAAGTCTGCAGGGGGTGTTTGAACATTCATTGTCAAATGGTTGAAAGTTTTTCAAACAAATACTACCTTATAATCAACTCAAACTAATGTTTGCGGACTCTTTCTTTACGAATTTACTTTTGCTTTTTTTTTGGCTCAGGGATTCAGGAAAGTATTCAATGTATCTGGGGGAATACATGAGTATGCAATCAAGGTCGATCCATCGGTTCCGACTTACTGAGATTCTCTTAACATGTCCAGTGCTCCTAGTATTGCCATATGTTTTCTTGGCAAAACTTTCCCTTCCATGGTATCTGGTTCTTTGAGAAAGCACAGTTTCACAGTCCACATCTGCAGATTCTGTAATGTAATTACTTCACATTTTTGGGTTTGCATTCCATGATGTACAGTTTCATTTCACAATAAGGCAATCAAACTTCCTTCAACAATTCGTTATTGCTTAATAATGGTGGTTATTGTGTTTATTATTTGCAGCTACGTTTTACGTACAACATATTATGTCTTAGAAGGCATCCATTTGCATCTTCAATAGATGGGATCAGAGATGGACTGAGGAGGCTGACGGAGGCAATCGCCTCCTAAAAATTTTAAATTCTCGTATAATTTAAATATTTTATTAATATTTTTATTGATATATATTTTCATTCCTAAAATTTTATAAAACCCGTCCCATAACATCTACGTCCATCCCTAGAGGCACCTCACCATAGTGCCACTAGGTGCCTTTGACATGGTTGTCCAGATGCTCCGATCGATTAAAACACTGAAAATTTTGACTTAACCAACCTTCAAAACAATGTTTAATTGTAGGTGTTTTCTTTTTATTAAATGAGCAGGTAGAGATCATTGAAGGTTTGATCAAGGATTATGTGTAAACTGATTATTGATCCTCGATTAGCGTGTTTAAAAATAGTCATAATTCAGTTTACGAATGGTGTCAAATTATATTCGGGTTTTAAGAGTATCCGACTTACAGGTATTTGGATTTAATGGGCCGGAACACAAACCGACGTGATTTAAACACCCCTTAATCCTAAATTCCCTCACTATCAATCTCCTCCAATTTCTTTTTTTTGGGATAATTAGATTATTATTACCCAATGAAAGCAGAATTGCTTCAAATCCAATACAAACAAACAAGAATAAAAAAGGGGTGACAAGATTCACAAAAAATCATACTATACCCCAAGAATTATAAAGAGAAAGATTAGTACTATTCAATCTATTAACAACCCTATTGCTAAGTTGTATTCTTACAGTCTGTTTGATTGAGGCCAGAATTTCGTCTTCGGATCTGCAGGTTCCTCGAAAAAGTCTTCGATTCCTTTCTTCCCATATTATATAATTGAGAGTGCACCAAGAAAGCTTCAAATATTAGTAAGCAATGACTTGCCTTTTCATGTGTTATATGCCCAAGTAAGAAGGGCAGTCCAGGTAAGAAGAGGTTTATGAATATCTGTGAGCTGAAGAATAGAATTCCAGATTGAAGCAGTTATTTTACATTCAGCAAAGAGATGGTTTCTGGATTCCCTTGCTTCAGAACAGAGGATGCACATATCATTAGTTTCAATTCCAAACCGGAGCAACCTATCCTTTGTAGGAAGACGATCCAAGATAACCATCCAAGATATTAAGCTAAACTTGGGAATGTGCAATGAAAACCAAATCAGTTTATGCCATGGGACTTTACTATTTTTTCTGTCGAACCTCTTCCCAAATCAGTTTGGTAGTCACAGCTCCGGATGCAAGAAGAGGTCGAACTGCTGCTCAGAGTTTTATGATTTTCCTTAAGATCCAGCTTGAGTTCTTCGGTTCTTCCATGTGCCAGAATCATGATCCTTAGTTGAGGATCCAACACTAATTTTTCCACAATCATTTTCTCACTCTTTCTTGCCAATTATCCTTTTTCTTTTCTTTTCTTTACTTCCGAACAGATTAACTTTCCGGTATTTCTCCGCCTGTTTTAAGGCCATCATCCCGCCATGGGAAGTTGTTGCTCTCGTGGCGAGGCTGATGACGGCGTTAACAACGAAGAAAAGGGAGATGCACGGCAAGGTTCATCGGTCGCCGCCGCTCAAACTCCACGTCTTCTGCCCTTGGAACCGTCTTAGGCCGACAGATGGAAGACGTGAAATCGACCTACACGATCGGGAAAGAATTGGGTAGGGGTCAATTTGGGGTCACACATTTGTGTAGACAAAGACAACCGGGAAACAATTTACGTGCAAGACAATAACCAAGAGAAAACTGGCTAACAAAGGGGATATTGAGAATGTTAGAAGGGAAGTACAAATCATGAACCATTTGACGGGGCAGCCTAACATTGTGGAGCTTACGAAGATAAGTATTCGGTTCATTTGGTGATGGAGTTATGTGCCGGAGGAGAGCTGTTCGATCGGATAACCGCCAAGGGCCATTACACCGAGCGAGCGGCGGCTTCTTTGCTTAGAACAATTGTTCAGATTGTGCACACTTGCCATTCTATGGGGGTCATCTGTAGGGATCTCAAGCCTGATAATTTCTTGTTGTTGAACAAGGAAGAAGATTCACCACACAAGGCCACAGATTTTGGTCTTTCTGCGTTTTACAAACCAGGTTTAATGATTTATAATTGCAAATTATTATTAGCATAGATAACGTTTAACGAAATTATTACTTTGATCCTATTCTTTTTTCTTGGAGCATATTGATCCAATCGTTTCATTCTAGGCAAAAAGATCCCTCAATGCTCTAAAACATAAGCCCTTTTTGTCCTAAAAGAAATGGTGGAGCCAAAATGCTAAAAAAAATAAAATGTTGAAGGTTAAAAATACTCTAAAAAAATGTCTATTTAGTTAAACATTATGAGCATTTTTATCATTATGTCATTATTATATTATCGCGAAGTTTCAACACTTAAATTGTGTCGTGATGAATCTTCATGATAATATTATAACAATATAATGACAAAAAATGTCTCTAACATTTGACTAAATAGTCATTTTAGTCCTTATTCTTTTTAAAACATTTTAACTCTCAATCTTTTATTTTAGGGAAAAGGCCCTATTTTATAGCATAGTCGATTTGTTAACGAACAATAGGGTTTTTTTGTCCCAAAATAAAATGTTGGAAGTCAAAATACTCCAAAAAAGATAAAAGACAAAAATAACTATTTAGTTAAACGTTAGAAGCGTTTATTATTATCATATTATCACGAAGATTCATCATTCGAACCTTGTGAAGAATTTTCTATTTGATTACTCACTTATTCCAGAAAATAAAATAACTACTTAGTTAAACGTTAGAAACGTGGTTCTAAGTAAGTATACATATGGCTCAATGTTCTATGGTTTTGGGCACAGAATCGTCATTTTGATTTTTATTTATGTGGCGAGAGTTCCATTTTTTAAATAAGAACCAAACACATTTCATGATCAACATTTATTTTTACGGAGATAACACTGACATGAGAGATTAATTATTACTATCAGTCAGGGAAGAACATACGAATTTATGTCAATGAGTGCAAACTTAAGAAATTATATTAGAAATTTAAGGAATATGAAATTATATCATCAACAGAAAATATATTAAAAAAAATTAAATTATATGAGATTTTTTCGAGGGATGCATGTTATCTGAGTACGTATATACATATTGGCTCAATGTCACTTGGTTTTAGTTGTGGAATGGTCATCTAGGCCCTTATCCATCTATCGGAGTTTGATTCTTATTTATGAGATCAAAGGATTGACAAAGAAAGTCGTTTCCTGAAATTTTTAAATTTTTATATAACGACATTCGAATGTAATTACAATATTAAAAAAGTTTCACATTTTGACTTTGATTTTAGTATGACTAAAGCTAGCTAAGAGTATAATAAACAAGTATTTAAAGTATATTATTCTTTTATTCAATCACTTAAAATATTTTTTGTTAAAGTAAATACTTAAAATTATTATTTTGGTTAAACTAAATACCTAAAGTACTTTTTGATTAAAATAAATACATAAAGTACTCTTATCAAAATAGAATTATAATTTAAAATGAATAATATAATATTCAGTTTAGTTATAAATGATATTTTAAGGACCAAAATATTAACTTTTTAAACATACATAGACTAAATAATAATAATATAAATGATATTAAAATAATAATATAAATTGGTGTTATAAAATATTAACTTTCTTTAAGAGGGATCAATTTCGAAATCGGCATGGACTTAAAGAGTGTTTAAACTAAAATATTTAAACTAACTAACTATAACTTTAAAATTGAGGACCAAAATATTAACATTTTAAACCTACATGGACTAAAATATTATTTTTTTATAACAGAGGGACTAAAATAAACTTTTAAGTATAATATATAAACTAAAATATCCCACTTGATATTGAGAGGTACATGAAGTGTTTTTCCGAAGCCCGCCATTGCTGACCACCAAAAACACAAACAAATATTAACTGTATCCTTCTCCTTCTTCCTCTATATAAACACAACCCTTTCTTCTTGTTTGTTTTCTCATGTGTATAATCCAATCTGTTTCTCGTTTGATTCATCGTATACAATAATATTATGGGCAATTCAATGTCTCCGTGTTTTCAACCTAATCCAAGGTCTTCAGTGAAGCTGAACTTCTGGGAAGGAAACACTCGAATCCTCACCGGAAAACACATAGCCGGCGAGGTCATGTTTGAGTTCCCCGACAAGATGGTTTGCCATGCAAACTCTTTCTTCATCGGTCACCCGCTACCCGTTTTAGCCATCGACGACGACCTCATGCCCGGGGAAACGGGAAACTTACTTCGTTCTTCCCCTCGATCACTTCTCAAGCAATGTGTTGTCCACGTCTTTTGTTGCAACCTTAAATCCTAACCCTAAATCGAAACCTGCTCCGATCAAATTCGGAGAGTGCCCTTTCGAGTACGTCCGAGGCACCGATGGTAGGGTTTTGATTAAGGTTTTGCCGGAGTTTATAACGAGGTTGATCCATGGAAGCAAAGAAGAAGGGGTTGGGGGTAATAGCTTCCTTTGCAGCACACCGGAGTTGAAGAAGCATTATGAGATGCTTGTTTGGTCTAAAGAACAAGTTTGGTCGCCTAAACTTGAGACGATTTCGGAGCATAAGATTAGGTTTTCTCCTCGCAGATTCATAGGGTTGGAGTGGAAATAAAAGCATAGGCAAATGTAGTGATTTACTGATGTCATTTCTTTACGCTGTATCATTTCCTATAGATATAGATGTTTCCATTAATGGAGATATTTTGAGAAGATTGTTTGCTTTTAACATCATGAACTCCCCTTGTTGTACAAAACATTTTGTAGCTTTTGATTTATGACCTTTTAACCGTTGATACATACATACATAACCTTTTAACATCATCAAACATTTTTTAGGAAGAGATAATAATCTCCCGACAAATGATATCAAAATAAACATTTACTTCAGTGGGTGTGATAGAAGGTGGACAATCATAACAATGATCCTATGAAAAGAGTGTCATAAGATTGAATGGACATCACATCGAAAAGGAAAAAATGACATTCAACGAGTGAGATAATCAAAATGGATAACTATAACAATGATCACATGACTATGATATCACGAAATTGAATAATATATACATAAACCTCAACCGATGAGATAGTTAAGATAAACAACCATGACAATAACTCTATAGTTGTGTCATGAGATTATATGAATATATACACGTATAAAAGATTTTAGCGTTCATTTTTTTTATGGATAGACATATGGGAAGTGTTTTACTAAGAAGCAAATTTGAGGGGAACAAGATAAATGATTTCGTGTGGGATTTCAAGTCCATTGACATACATCAAATTTGATATAACAATCTCTTTAACTCATAATAATGCCTAGTGATAGTATATGAACATTGAAATGTTATAATGCCTAACAACTAATTAATAAAGGCAAGTGGGTGGGTTGAATTAATTTAAGAAAGCAACTAATGAAGCATGTGGTGATTAATTTGTGCATACTCGTTCATGTATTTGAGCAATATATAGGGTATGGTCCAAAGTTCCAATAGAAAACCCAGGATTCGTCGGTCTGATGGCGTAGCTAACTTTGAAATTCTTCAATTTAATTAAATAATGTAATATAAACACACAGATAATGGTTTAATACCACGTTTATATCTTGCAGAATTAGTCTAACCACGAAAAACACGTGTGCTTGATAGGTTTAACTCAAACATCATGTAAATTACACATATTCTTTTAAATTAGTATTTAAAGAATTTTTATAAATGGGTAAAGTACACCAATGGTCTCTTGATTATAAGATATTGTTTTGTTGAGTCTATCGACTATTAAAATTTACAAAATGGTCACCCGACTATTCATTATATTAAAAACTCGTCTTTTTATGTTAAAAAATTAACGATCGTCTAAGTTGGACATTAACATGCTGACTGAGATATGATAGTCGTTAATTTTTTAACGAAAAAGCTAGTTTGAAATATGATGAATAGTCGGATGATCATTTTGTAACTTTTAATAGTCAAGTGACTCAACAAAGCAACTACATATATATAGTTGAGAGATCATTTTATAACTTTTAATAGTCGGATAACTCAACAAAACAATATCTTATAGTTAGGGACCATTTGTATAATTTACCTATTATTCAGTTGGTATTTGAACTTTTAAATTATAAAATAATAAAATATTCGAAATAAAAATATATTATAATTATTAATAGACTAGTCTTACCAATTTTTCTCTAGTCAATTACTCTAGTTTTATTCATTTTTTTTATTTTTATTCATTATTTTAATACAAATATAGTACCTAAATTAGGTATATTCTTAATTTCACAATGAGACAATTTTGCTTAGTTTTTCCCAGTGTAAAATTATGATATTTCACTCTCATTTCTAATATTCTTTTGTTTTCTCTTTATTCAGTTAAACATTAAAGGAATGCAAAAATACATATATATTATTATCACAAATACATTAAAAATAAAAAAAAAAATTAAAATAACTATTTACTCAAACATTAAAGAGAAAACTCAAATATTTATGCATACATATCGTCCTTAAGTAGGAGAGGTCGGATGAGGGGTGGTGGTTTAGGGTAGGAAGTAGGGATGGGGATGGGTCGGGTTTGAACCAACTCGACCCGATTCAAAAATTTTACATTCTTCACTTGATCCGACACGACTTTTTAAGATAAAATCTGAATTCGACTCGAAATAATAATAAAAATATTATTTTTATTCAATAAAAACAATGATTTAATTGAAAAAAAATAATATATAGAGAGGTATTATTGTAATTATTACTAAATATATACAGTAAAATTATATTTTCTTAAGTCAGATATTTTCACCCTAAATCCGAACCGACCTAACTTAAACCTGAATTTTTTAGAAAAATATATGGCATGATCGAATCGAATCTGAATCCATCGAGTTCGAGTTCCATGCACATTCCTAATAAGAAGAGGCAGCCAAACTCTAATGTTTTGTAGTTGAAGGGGAGTGAGAGCCATTGTCAGTAAAGCAAAGCAAAGCTATGTTTCATGGAAGAAGGTATCGTGAAGTGAGTTAAAAAAAGGGCATCAAATCACAGGAACTAAACAACAAAACTCTTTATAGGTCTCTTCTTTACTTAGTGTGCGATTATTGGAGAGAGAGAGAGAGGAACCCACCTCAGTGTTGCTTTCTTGTAAAATATATATATATATATATATATATAGATAAATAGATAGATAGAAAAATAGATTAGGAAGAAAATACGAGAAAAGGGCCGTTACTACTTGACTTCATCTCAATACATACAGGAGAACCAAATAATATTTTGTTAAGTTTATCGATTATTAAAAGTTATAAAATAGTCAATCGATTATTAAAAGTTATAAAATAGTCCTTTGATTATAGGGTATTATTTTGTTGAATCTTTCGACTATTAAAAATTACAAAATGGTTCTTTGACTATAGAGTGTTATTTTGTTGAGTCTCCCGACTAGTAAAATTTATATAAAATATTATCCGACTAGTTATATATTCTACATCTGTCTTTTTTAATTTAAAATTTGATGTCTATATGAGGTGGACGTTAATTTGCTAATCGACATATGATAAAATCATATTTTTATGATGTATATCGGTTGCTTTCATGCACTGGTTCACTTACATAATGTTTTAAACATTCTCTCGACGAGAAGAGTTGATCCACAAAATACAACTCATACGATTATGAGATCATATTTTACCATATCTCAGTTAACATGTTAACATTCAGCTCAGACCACAGTCAATTTTCTAGCAGAAAATGACGAGTTTAAAACATATGAATAATCAGATGATCATTTTATAAAATAATAATTTTTTTAATAAAACAACATCCTATAGATGATAAATATTTTATAACTTTTAATAATATAAGTAGATAAAATATTTCATTATAATTGGGATACCATTTGTTTATTTTATTCTTATTTTTTATATCTCAGATTACTACAAGACTGTAGTTGTTTCAGAAGACTAGTAGTTTAATTTTGGTTTGGGGCTTCCAATTTGATTTTCTTTCTCTCTTTTAGCCTCTCACTCAGTATAGCTGCTGCAGTTTAATGGCAGAAGGCAAAGGAGAACCCAAAAAATAAAAGAGAAAGTAGAACAAAACACTAGTGTTTTCTATGCAGCAATTGGAATTCGAAAAGACACCCAACAAAGATAATCTCTTTCTTTCTATGATTATATCTTCTTCTGCTACAATTTAAGAGATTTCGACCCTTTAACTCATATAACACCCACATAGATATATTTTCCTTTGATTGCACTTCTCTCCATCTTTCTGCCTTAATTATATATATGTCTTATGTTTGTAAAGATTGAGCTTTTAACAATTGAAGGAGACGTCTTCATCTGCATAATTTTGTTATTCATTGTGGCTACCACAAGGAAGCCGCTACCGTCAGACTCAGGAGCCTTTGTAGATTGGGCGACATCATCGTCCACAGCAGCAATCCGAGCTAGCCCCGATGAGCTGTCCCCTGGCTTCAATGCAAACGCCGCCGCCGCGGTGGTGGCTGCAGCACCTGAATCCGCCACCACTCAATGGCCACCCTCAGTTCGTCCGCTCAACTACGGCCTTCCCTCAGAAATGGGAATGGTTGGTCTTCGCGATTTCGTTTTTGTCGCTCCTGCGTCTTTTAACCATCATCACCATCACCATCTCCACCATGCTCAAGATCCCATCATCGGAAATGATCAATTCAACTGTCACGATGCTGCCACGGCACTTGGCGTCGGTGTTTTCCCACTTCTTACAGCATCTCCGTATTTAGCTCCACAAAATATGGAAGATTCTGATTTGATTAATGACAATGGCCGTAGCAAACTAAGCGGGATGCAGTTATGGCAGAATCAAAGCTCCCTGCATAATCTTAGAAAACCAACTTCAATCCTTGACAACAACAACAACAATTCTTCTTCCATGAATTTGATACAAAGCAGTGGCGGCGGCGGTTCAGGTTCAAGCTCAGCCACAACGTGTCAAGATTGTGGGAACCACGCCAAGAAAGATTGTACACACAGGAGATGTAGAACGTGCTGTAAAACTCGGGGCTTTGATTGCCCTACGCACGTTAAGAGCACGTGGGCACCTGCTGCTAGGAGAAGAGATCGCCAGCTCATGGCAGCAGCCGCTACTACTGGCGGAGCTGGCTCATCGGTGTCGACTTCTGGGGCTAAAAAACCCAGACTTGTCATTTCACAGGCTACTACGACCACTCATACTTCAAACACTACTCCAAGAAGCTTTGACACTAACTCAAGTCACCAAGGTTTGCCTTCCCCCCCCCCCCTTATATTAGGGTTGTTTCTAGAGGGTGAAATTTAGCTGAAAAATGTTTTTTTTATGCAGATGCAGGGTCACTGCCGGGGCAAGTACGGGCGCCGGCGGTATTTAAGTGCGTAAGAGTGACGGCAGTGGACGATGGTAAAGATGAGCATGCATATCAAGCAGTGGTTAGGATTGGTGGGCGTGTGTTCAAAGGGTTTCTTTATGACCAAGGAGTACTTGAAGGAAGAGATGGGTTTCCGGCTAAATCTGAATTGCATATCCGCCGCGGCGGCGGCGGCGGCAGAAACGGTGGTTCGAGTAATGGTAATGCAATAAATTGAGATCATCTTTCCTAGTAAAGAAAAAAGGTGGAGTGATCGACTTGGGGGATCCATTATAGTATAAATTTGATCCTTTTTTTCCCTACTTCATACTGATTATTTATATGGTTTCGGTGAATTCTTCTTTTATACACTCCATATCCTTTTGGCTTCAACTGTGTATTTGGCCATGAACAAAACATAGCAGCAGGCCAGCAGTTGTCCTGCAGTTTCATGCATTCATGAATGTCTGATGTACTTGCTTCTTCTGTTATCCTGGTATGAGAAATGTGTTCCCTCTCAAAATTCACACCTTACACGAATCTAACCTTTTTCGAGTTGTTTTTAATGGTTTAGTTTGCGGAATCGTGCATGCATTGCTTTTCTTCAAGTGCAGCTATATTGTCTATCATCTTCATTAATTGAATATGTGTATGCTTTGGTTGGTAATTAGAAACATGCAATGTACTGAACGTTATCTCAATATTCTATCCCCATATGTCGGCTTTATTCTTGCTCTTATGTGTGGAAAACCAGGACAATTGGTGTTGGATATGTCTGTTCTTGGCTTCTAGTGATACCATTTCCCCCCTAGGGTTCTGCATGATGATGCAACCTAGTGCTTTGGCTTGTGTATAATTGTTAACTAAAATAAGATGGAGCCCTGTATTTAATTGTTGGTAGGGTCTTACTTTCGGCCATTCAAGCATGCTGTCCCCTTTTACTTGTATATTGCATCATGTGGGTTATTACTTGGTGCTAATCTTGAATGCCGTGTGCCGCGTCCAAAGCCATGTGTGTTCCAAAATAGAGTCTCGTTGTTCCAAGTGCATCTTACCTTTCTCAGACAACCAAACATGACAGTATTCTTCTTCCATATTTTAATTTATTTATTTTTGCTTGGAAATCTAGCGTATAATCTTGTTTATGTCGAGATTTGTGATCAACATTGTTTAGCCTCGTTACCTTGTCTTTACATAGGACTCCCATATATTTATTTGACTTAAATTCGATGAGACTTAAAATGATTAGAGAAAATATTAATTTAATTGAAAGTAAAATATGTATTCTATTTAATTGAATAGATTTCTTGGTATGTAAATTTTATTTTTAAATTATCTTTATAAATAGATATTACAGATTAGAATTAAATGTTAAATTGCTTTATGAAAATTTCTGATATTACTCTTTTTTTCGACGTTATTAGTGGATTCTCTTCTTCTACACAGAGATATTTTAATATTATTATGGAAAACATAATTGAATGACTAACATGACCTTACCTCACCACTGCAACACGGAAGGTAGATGCCATAAAAAAATCGAATGAAAGCTTTTACAGGTCATGTTTGAGAATGGAGAAGATTTTAAAGCTTCCTTTGTTAACCTTGGTATGCATCCAAGAGAAGATGGCTGTTTGAGGGTATGCTTAATTTGATGTTATTTCGACTTTTCAATCCTTCTTAAACATATGTATAACATATCCATATTTGACACGTATGTATGCGGTTCGGGTGCAACATCTATAGTCGATGAGTTATTTGTATAATTTACTAACTTTTTAATATTTATGTAGGGTGAAATTGGATACGGATTTTGATCCCAAAACTCTAGTTGATTTAAGCGGAGGAAATATATTTCTCAAGTCGGTTCTAATTTTGGTGGAAGGTATACTTCTAAGATCAGGTGAAGATCGAGTGGAGGGTATATGCTTATCAGATAGGGTGAAAATGACCCTAAACCCACCCGACCTATTGTCATCCCTAGTTGGGTGTGTAAATACAATCATGAGTACTTTCCAGAACTTTAAAGGAACCATTTCAAAAGCAAATCTAGGTCGCTCAACCTCACTACTATTATTCCTATTCTTTCCAAGAAACTGACAACACCCAACCGTTGCTCATTGGCCAATCTTTTTTTAAAATATAAACTAGAGCACTACTTTCATCATTCTAGAGCACTACTTTCATCATTTCTATATATAATAAGTAACGACTTAAAGGACTCAACAAAGGATAATTATGTATTTCTACCACTAAACAAGAGTACGATGCCACCATAAAGCGAGAACAGGGGGAAGAATCTTAATTCTTGGTTAATTAATCAGGGAAGAGGGAGAAATGAGGATCTTTTGTATCCTTTATTCCTCCACTAACATCGCTCGCTTTAGGCAAAAGCATAAATTGGATGCTTCTGTCGCAAAGCGCTAGACGAAAACATACAACAAATCACTGCTAGAGAATCAAGTATTTAGGCACAAGTCAAAAGACACCAACAAAAGGACCAATATTACAATCAACAAAATTTTGTAGTATCAGGGATCAAGAGGAGAACACAATTATATTTATAACCTTACTCATTAGTTTGTATAAGAAAAGAAGCATACTTTTCGGATATAAATCGATGCTTCTCTTAGGAGGCCCAATATCAGGAAACATTGACACCGGTAAGCTCCAATTCTGCCATTGTGGCATTAATTGCATCTATAACATCCATCTTTCCCATGCTCACAGCTTCGTCAATTGGAGTTCGTTCATGGCTGTTCATATCCAATTCCGTAAATAATCGTGTATTTGGTGGTTGAAAAAACAGGGCAAACAAGGAATTAGAAAAATCAATATTAACATAATAGAAATATAACTCACCTGTTCAGAAGGCTTACATTTGCACCTGATTGAACTAATTTCTTAACTACCTGTCACCACCATTAATATAAGAACCCAAAACTTGTGTAAGATCGGCTAAAGTGAAAGACTAGCAAGCATGAGCAGCAAAAAGTTACCTCAACATGACCGTTGAGACAAGCCCAATGAAGAGGAGTATTGTTCTCCACATTAGAAGCATTAACATCCTGCTCATGTAAAATCTTCAAAATGGTAAAAAAGATGCTCTGGGAAAAGGTAATAATAAATGCCAAAGATATGCTTAATGAATATTTTAATGTATGCTAATCCCTTGTGAACTTACCATTATGGAGAAATAAAGCAAAAATAGTCAATAACCCAAGCTCAAATAAATACAGAGAAAGAACCTTTTTCCATCCAAGCCAACAAGAAATTCCATTAGAGAATGACCTTTTTGCAAAAATAGTCAATAACCTCAGATTTTGATGTTTATAACCTTGAAATCCCCTTAAATTGAGCTTGGAGTTTTTCTTTTTGCCATAAAATGAGCTAGGCTAAGGTATATGAAAATTTTGTAAACTGATTTGATACTGACATTCAGGTTGCAGAACTTTCAACGTCACTCTTGGACCATTTCTTTTCAAAGTAAGATTCTACCAGTGAAAAGATTAATCAAACCAAACCATAAAATCGGACCAACCAACAAACTACATAACAAGGGAAATTAATGCAACCATGAAAGTAAATAAAACCCATGTTTATAATCTCATGGAAAATGCTTTAAGTTGCTGCTATGCAAAGCATGAGATTTTCATAAATTTTTAGACAAATATACATGCTATTGCCAAATATACATAACAGACACCCTATTGGTGGAATTTGTCATTGGAAAAAAATTCTTTGACCAATATAAAATCATTGCAGTAATTTGGGTAAGGTAAAGAACTAGAGTAATGTAACAAAATGATTTCAAGACAACAGCGAGATCAACATTAATCCATTCATATTCATTGTATATTTACGCTTATGTATCTGTGACTAAAGGAACTGAACACATTGTAGCCAAACACAATTGAAGTGAAAAAGGGGGAAAAGAAAACCAAAAGGAGCAACTACATTGCTGGGTTCTAAAATCGATCTAGCAGACTCAGCAATGGTCATGGAAGGAAACATCCAAGAAGAAATCTATCATGACAGACGATCTATAAAAAAAAATTGGGAGCTCTCATGGCCAGCAGAAAAGGAAAAAGAAATATAACTTCTTAAAGAGTGTGAAGAGGACGAGGAAAAGCAAGAACCAGACATTATGGAGCGAGATGTCAAAAAGGGAACAATGAAGCAAACAGAAGAGTTAAAAGGGATTTTACAATCAGGCCATTAAGGTCAAAATCAAACATGCAATTTACGCTTATCAAATCACTGCAAGAAATGAGCCAGACATTTTAAATAAATGCCCTTCAACTTCTTGTAAAGGAATTTAATTCATCTTTCTTCCTGAAAAGAAAGAGCATCCTAATTTTAACCTTCTATGCCAAAAGCCTCAAGTAAGTATGAAGGTTGAAAGTGTCTTAAACAGGTTATCCCGTAACATGTTTGTCTAGTTTTGGGTAGATGGAGGAAATAATTGCTTCACTACCCACCCCCTCCTCACCCATGTAATTTGCACTGGAGGGAACTTGTGGGCAAGATCCCTATCCGTATGGATAGTGTATCTATTACCCTATTTTACCTCAAAAAACTGAATGTAATTTTTTGCCTTTGCTCGCTAATAATTCAAGTATTTTTCTTTTCCGATTTAAGCTTGAAAAGTAAGGTCCATGAAAGCATGTGTGAAAATGAAAAGAAAATCTCTAGATCAACAAGATCTAGTGTTCCTTGGCTATGTGCATTATTTCCTCATCATATCAAATTTTGTGCTAAGCTCTTCAATTCCCTGCCTGTTTCATATATAAATCCTCAACCCAAAAAGGAGAAGTAATATCCAGTTGTTATGGTGTAAGTGTAGGCCTAGAGATGCACCAAACCCAACCACACATATAGTGGAAGTTAAATGACTTATTTATTCCAAGTTTATGCACACCACGGATGTTGCATCTGTTACACACATCAAGATAGTTTATTATATTTCGAAATTAATCGAATAACATATGCCCTCTTTTTCCCCTTTCTTTAAATTAAAATTAAACCTCTTTTATCAAGTATTCAGTCATCATTCCAGTCAGAAAACTCGGAAGATAGGGTGGTATTGGTACATATTAAAACAACCAGACAAATATTCATAGCAGAGTTTTCTCACCACTCCTCTACTGATGAGATACTCCACGATATCAAGATGTCCATTAGCCGCAGCCATGTGAAGTGCTGCAATGGAAAATCACAGTAATTTTTAATGAAATATAAGCAAATAAACTTTCTTTCCAAAAAGTAAACAGAAAACAACAACAAGCACAAATGAAAACCAAAATGCCAAAAGAAATTTCTATAAATTAGCACAATTGTTGACCGCTAGAGAGAGAAAAACCGAATTCCAATACTACATTTGGGATTAAAAACATCACTTAACTAAACATTGACAAAATGATGGGATTTAAAATTCCGACTGAAATCTAA